TCCAACGGGATCGATGTCGAAAAACAACGAAACGGAGGTAAAGGAAGAACGGGGAGTACATGTCCGGTTCACCGACGAAGAGCCGGCATTTGTCGCGGAAACGACGAGACAATTCACTTAGGTACACCGTACATGATTGAAACGCGTTGTCTGGAACTACTGTTACATTCGTCGATACGTACCAGAGTCGGGAATTCTTCTAATTGTTAGTTTCTACGACTAGATTAGCGTAAAAAAGTGCGGGGACTTGGAAAATATTCTGAAGATACGATATTAATGTCGATAATACATTGAATATGTTAACTTGTGTAACTGTTAACGTTCCATTTATATGAATATCTTAACGAAACGACATGTAAACTCGGCTTTTGTTAGGGGAAACAGTGTTGTGGGGGACGTGCCTTTTACCACTTGATAAATTTATTTCAAGCACTGAAATAAATGTTAAACCGAATATTAATTTGGCATACATTTCGGTAGGTCTCGATACCAAATGGTAGGATGCACTTACTTTTACTCAATGGTAAATATTATGTATATCAATTCACAGCGCAACGCCAATAGATGTGTTGCAAATGTCAATGCGAGAGTATTTGAAAAACGGCGAGGGGAATATCTCAGTAATTAAGATTTCAAAATGAACGCCGTTAGTCTTAAATTATGCCCGAGGGCTTAATGCATCGACCCAATACTGCAGAACCCTAGAAATAGTCAAAATATTTATGCCTGTATTAATACCGACCCTATGGAGCGGAAACCCTACTTGCAACAGGTTCCGGAAGCATTTGCAACGTTAAGCGAGCATGACTTTTCTTCGTCCCGCATTAAATTCGAACATCAAAGAACGTAGATTAATATCCTCTAGCGCCTAAGAACCAGTAGTAATAAGAACATTGTTAAAAACGCAATTGTTGGCAACGGTTGACACTGTTTCTCTTCGTGCGCAACCCGTTTACTTCAATTTGGACAGCTCTTATAGCGTTATGCCTTGCAGCTTTCATCTTAACCAAGCATTCGATTTGTAGCTCAGAGAACATAGATTAATCCACTGTCATTGACAATAACGATAAACGTCCAGAACATTGTTAAAATCGCATTTAATCGCGGAGTACCACTATTTTTTTAACTGGTGGCGCCATCCGTGGCGAATCGCTGAAACTGCTAGTCAATTATATGGCTAGTAGTTTCAGCGATTCACCACGGGTGGCGCCACTGGTCGAAAATATAGTGGTATTCCGCGATTAAATGCGATTTTAACAGTGTTCTGGTCGCTTATTGTTGTTATCAATAACAGTGGATTAATCTACGTACTTTTAGCTACAAACTGAGTGCTTCAGCTAAACGAAAGTTGTCCGTATAACGGTGTAAGAGCTGTGCAAAGTGAACAAACCGGGGTACGCATGACAAGATACAGTGTGAACCGTTGCAAATAAAGTGCGATTTTAACAGTGTTCTGATCGTTTATTGTTATTACCACTGACAGGAGATTAGTCTACGTTCTTTCAGCTACAAGTCGAGTGCTTGGTCAAGACGAATGCTGTCAGCATAACGTTGGAAGAGATGTCTAAAGTAATGTAAACGGGGTACGCATGACTAGATACAGTGTCAACCGTTGCAAATGAATGTGATTTTAACAATGTTCTTGTAATTACTGGTTGCCAGCCGTTAGAGAGTATTATTCTACGTTCTTTAAACTTCGAATTGAATGCCTGACGAAGAAAAATGATGCCCGTTCTCACAAGTACTAGTTTCTGACTTCGTTAATGAAAATACAAATTCCAAAATCTTCTCGCGCCACTCGTCTAGGTCAGTTCTGTCCTGAACTTACGCACAAAACGTAATTAAAATCATGTGAATAAAATAATTCATATTTCATATTTCTCATAAATACTAAGACGGGGTTGTTGTTTAATAATTTATGATAAAATACAAATTATTCATTTATGAAGCTTCATTACAAGAACCACTAAATAATTTTCTGTAACATTCAAAGTACTAGACATTTTTAGAACACTGAATCTCATATCGATTTCTAAAATAATCCTATTTCGATGTAAAATAGAACGTGGTTTTATGAGATGGATTCGAAGTTCGCAGCCATTTGCTCGATATTGTCTTCAGTTTATAGTACTTTACCGATGACAATACCGATTGCCCAGGCCTCACCACGAGGAGGTTGCTGCGAGTGGAGGCCCAAGGCAAGTAGATGGAATCACAAGTTCTACATCTACCCACCTTTCACAA